GCCCTATAGGGAGCAGTAGGTCCTAACAAAATATTATATTTTGGTAAAAAAAAAAAAAAAAAGGTTCTCTCAAGGTAACATATTCTAGAATACACACACAGGAAGTACTCTCTTGTCTGCATTTTGCATTTTTAGTCATTATTGTGCTGCAGTTTGTTGGACTAGTTCATCTGTCGAAACACACTTCAGTCAACAGCTGTATGCAGCGTGACTGTTGTCTACTGAAACACACACTCATGCACACACACACACACTCATTCTTGTGTATTCTGGTTTCTGTGGATTTATAATATGCTGGAGGTTTCTTCCTGTTAATAGGGAGTTTTTCCTCTCCACTGTTTGCTCAGGATGGGAGACTGTGATGAAGTGATTCAACACAATCTGCTGGCTTCTTCTTTAGATGGTTCTTTTTATGTACAGTGCCCTGAGATGACATATGTTGTGACTTGGCGCCATATAAATAAACTGAATTGAACTGAATTGAATAGTATGGGAACTAGATCAAGGGTTTGACAAGAAAAACAGTTAACCTTAATTGGATATTACTGTTTTGTACAACATTCATTATTAAATAACTATAGTTTTGGTCTGCTTGTTTATTCTTTGTCAAAATTGTTGCAAATCTGCTCAAAAGGTTCTCGTTTTTAAAAGATATTGCTGATATTTCACCTCCCTCTCATGGATCACCTTTTTGTTTGTGAAGGAAAACATCTTGAAGTGGATTAGAGCACGACTTCTTTATCGATGACAGTTAATATGAGAAAACCTTCGGCTTTGCTGGGACACTAATCAATGTTTAGCACCACGTCCTCTCATTGATTTACATGGAAAATTATATCTGTTGTTGGACTGAAGGTTTCTCGTGATCCAGTTCTGTTTCCTGGAAACGCTGGCAGGAGTTTCAGCTTCCTCAAGAGAGGTATCTTAGTGCCACAAATCTTCTGTCAAAATATTTACCTGAGCTTCGATTTTAAACGACTCGCCTCCAGAAACAAATATTAAAATGATGTTTTGACACGTTTCATCTCCAGATAAAACTGTTTTCTCTGCAGGAGCAGGAGGCTGGTCCCCCCTCACTTCAGACAGGTATCAGTGGCTGCAGGTGGACCTGGGCGAGCGGACCAGGATCACCGCCGTGGCCACGCAGGGGCGCTACGGCAGCTCTGATTGGCTGACGTCCTACCTGCTGGTGTTCAGCGACACGGGCCACAACTGGAAACAGTACAGACAGGAGGACAGCCCAGGGGTGAGTTCATACTTTATATAAACAAATCATCTGTTTTTATTAATTATTCTTGTTCCTTCATCCTTAATAAATGTATTTTGTTTTGTGCAGTTTACAAAAAAGCAGTGCTTCACCTAAAGCACTGATAGTCTGGAGCTCATCTTCAAATCTGTACTTTATGGATCAGATGAAGGGTTTACGTCACAAACTCAGACACAGACGTTTGTTTTATTTGATTTTTTCTTGCTCAGTTCAGATGGATTTTACTGGCATCAAGATTCAAGAAACAAATCTGCCAAAACTTTAAAGGACAGCAATGACAAATCAGTATTTTTATTTATTTGTCTGCAAACATTAATCAGACCAAAGTCTCTTCAAACCAGTGGATTCAGTCACATATTTTGCTGTAAGACTCAGTCAGTGAGGTTGTTTGAACATATTATTTTATTTGTTTCAACCTGAGTTTTTACCCTGACACACCCAGCATGGCTCATGTTTTAGCACGTGTTAAACATTTTATCCCACCCCAAAGGTCACAGTTTAAATGTGAAATATGGTTTCTCTTTATTTTACTGTATTTAGCTTCTACTTTCAAGCCAAGAAACTTAATTTTGAATTTTTCACTAATCTTTGACTTTAGTGTAAAAAGAACCACAGAAAATCTACTTTAATTCTCTTTTGTTGTGATTTATTTCATTTTTACCTGATTTGCTGGATTGTGATAAAATTTATATCTGAGAAATAACAAATGGAAAAGTTGTTGATAGAGAGAAATGCCTTTAACTCTTTCAGAATAAAAGCATTTCTAGTTCAAGTTTGTGTTTTTATAAATACAGTTTGAAGTTAGTCAAACAACAAATAGCAGATACTTTCTCTATCATATTTTATACAAAGTCAGTTTTTGTATTCAGAAATTTTTTTTATGTTTGTTTGAGGTTTAGCTGCTAAAGATGCTACATGCTAATACACACGGTGCCAGACAAGTCCAGCAGTGCTTGTAAGAGTTTTTGTTTTTGGGATAAATGTCATAAATACGGAAGCAAATTAGTGCCACAAAGATTTAAAAAAATATTAGTTTTCCTGAATTATGACATTTTTATCTCACTTTATCTCGAAATTCTGGGGGGAAAAAAGGGGTCAAAATTTTGAGATAAAGTCAAAATTCTGACTTTTTCCTAATTCTGAGATTAAAGTCAGAGCTCAGGAAAAAAATGTTTTTGCTCTGTGGCCCTGCCCTAATCCTCTTCTGTACATAAAAATTGAAGTTTTACACTTGTGAATTTTTTTAGTGGAGCTAATGCTAGCAGAAGCTAATCTGTCCGCTAACAGCTTCCAAAGTGAGCAAAATCTAAAATCTGCTAAATGAGAAGCTAGTTCTGCTGCTAGCGGATTAGAGGACCTGTGCTCATCACTGCAAGCTAACAATTATCTGATCAATTCCTGCTGCAGGTAAGATAATTACTCCTCAGAACACCTCTGATAAACATTATCAGGATGGAACAGGTTTCCTTAAAGTTTCATTCCTTTCCTCTTTCCCTAACTCATTCTTACTCAGGTGCTGAGTGTTTATTCAGTCCAAACGGCTGAAATATTTACATTTTTTAATTTAACAGTCAGCGCTGCACCAGTTCCTCTAGTTTCCGTCTGGTTGGGTATATATGACTCCATATTTGTAGAGCGAACAGGTTCAGCTGCTCTCAATAATTCTGATTATTGTGGAAAAACGCCAGTTGGACCTTAGAGGCGGTTCAGCCTCGCTTTGCATCCACAGCTCCAACCCTTCGGGGGTATTTCCACCTCAGAGGTGTCATGCTGGACGTGTATTTGCCTCTCCGCAGCTTCGCTACACGATTCGTTATCCAGGAGCTGGAATACTGAGCAGTTCTGATGTTGTAGCAGAACACAGAGGGGCAGCTTGTAATCTGTTGTTACTGCATTCTCCAGCGATTCCAACTCGAAGTTTAAAAAGAAAAAAAGTAACAAACCTATTTTCCCCCCTAGCTTGAGCATTTACATTAACCCCGGCTGAAGCCACATTCGGTACAGAAGAGTTTTTGATTAAAAGTCCAGCTGAGGCATTTTCCAGCTAATCTCGGCGCAGAGCGAGGATCCAGCTTAAAAAACATGTGGATCTGAAGCTGCATATATATTCTGCGACTTTTTAAAGTGTGTCAGAACTTCAGTGAGTGAGTCAGCCAGGCTTACAGAGTCTGTCAGCAGAAAAAAAACACATAAAAAGTTCTGATGGCAGAGCTGCTGGATCAACCACAACACATTACCTACTGGGCTTCAGATCTCAGCAGAGTGGGCCGAAGACCAGAAGAGACAATATGTTGTTTTCCTCTCCCAGTCTGAGAATTTCTTCTTCTTTTTTTTTCTTTCTTCCCTTGGAAGCCTGTTGATGCTTGGAAAGACCCCAACCCATCTTTTCTTTATTGCCTCTCGCCTTTATCGGTTTGTTTTGAGCCACCTGGAGGGATGAAGATGAGAGGGAGTCCTGATTTTTTCACGTTATTCTTTTTATTTTCCATCTTTTTCCTCAAACGTGTGAATCTTCAGTCCCTTTATTTAGCTCCTCTGTCATTTTTGCTGCCTCTTTTATTTTGAGCCAAAGATCCTGCTGGTGGAACTTAACAGTCTGACTTTAGTTAAACTATCATATTTTTCACTTAATAATTTACAATTTAAAGTTTTTATGCTAAATCTCATCTCCAAACAACAAAAATCCTCTTGTGCTTTTTCTATATGTGGTTTTAAACAAACAGATATTGGAGTTTTCCTCACTCAGTAAAATTTTTCACATTAATGCTAACTGTTGCTAACAGAATTTAGCGACAGCTGAGGTACGTTTACTGATTGGAGGAGAAAATATCAGATTTTGGAGCTTTGGATCTGCAGGAAAACAGTTCAACTTTAACCCAACTTTATCAAACCTGCTTTATTTTTTTTCCAGTGTTGTTGCTTTGATTTGTTTGAAGCTTCACAAGTTTCAGTTCTTCCTAACTGTTGCAAAGGTTCAGCAGGTGAAAATAAATTAATAATAATGCAATAAACAAAAGTGAAAGTAGAAATATTGTCACATCTTAAAATTATCATGACCCCTGCATGCGAAGCGGGGGTCTAATTGTTTTTGTACTGTTTATTTTTTATTTGTTTTTTAAGATTTTTAGTCAACCGTAACACAGAAACGGCTGCACCGATCAACATGAAATTTGTCAGGACTCTAGATGAGTCCGATCTACACTGCGCCCGCCAACAGTTTTACAATAGACCCCATATTTGAGGAGGGGGCTCCATCTAAAGAGGGGGTGTCTGGACATACAGAAATGCTTATAACTCAAAAACTGTTCAACATAGGAGCTTCAGATATTTTTGTTGTTTAGCTCTGATGAAGGGYGATCCATCGATCCCACCAGTTAGCAACCCCCACCCAAAACAATAAATCCATTCTGATGACTTCTGAGTTCTGGTGCATTGGTGCTTTGCGTATGTGCAGGGGTCATATACGCTGTCGCTATGCTGGATTTAGTCCGAATTCTTCTCATTCTGTTAAATCTCATCAGTTCAAATTGGATGAAAGTGAGATCTTTGATGCAAAGCGAGGACCTCTTCAATGTCCTCACTTTGTTTGCAGCTCTGCTGTGCTTTACTAGTTAGGTTTAGAGGTATGGTATGAGTTAAGTTCTGGTTCAGGTTGTTAACTGTAGACCAGTAATGGTTAATTTTAGGGAAAATGTCTGGGTTAGGCATAAATACAGTTACAAAAATGAATGGAAGTCAACACAAAGTCCTCAGTTTGATGCAAATACAAGAATTTGTGTGTGTATGTGTGCGTGCGTGCGTGCGTGCGTGTGTGTGTGTGTGTAGTCTTTTCCAGGTAACACTAACGCAGACAGTGTGGTTCAGTACAAGCTGCAGCAGCCGGCAGTGGCTCGCTTCCTCCGCCTCCTTCCTCTGGACTGGAACCCCAGCGGGCGGATCGGACTCCGCCTGGAGGCCTACGGATGTCCTTACTGTGAGTTCCTCCTCTTCTTCGCCTCAGCTGGTCGTCTCTGACACAGATACACCTGCTGGTTGAACTGTTTATACAATAACGCAGAATTAACTCTTAACGTTATCTTAACTCAGGGGGGTCAAACTCATTTTCACCGAGGSATGCTTGAGGGTTATGTTTATAATGAACTGTGACTAAAATGTCACGTTCCTACAGCTGAGCACTGCTAACAAAAAATAACTGAGCTCTACCTGGTATTTCCTGTATAGAAACAGTGTTTTAACACGTCCTTTTATAAACACTGAAAAGTACGACTGATTAAATGTGAAATAAGTAATTCAGAAATACTATTAAAAGTAAAAATGTTACTCACTGTTGAGTTATGGTGTGCTACTGCTGTCTTGAATGTTCCCACTTTCTGATAGGGAATTCCCACTCCAGTTTAAAATTACGACTCATAAGTGGTAAATTCCCACTTCCCAGTACAACTGGGCCGCAGTAAAAATGCAACATAACGGAGATTTTACGTGGCAAATTTTACCGGCTACTGTGCAGCGTCACCTAGTGGTGAGATCCTGTCATTTAGTTGCTAAAGTAATCAGCATACATCATGGGAAATGTAGTTTATGGGCAAATTCAATTAAAAATACTGTATTGATCCCAAAGGGTAATTAGATAAAATAAAGATTAAGATTTTTTCCCTCTCTCTACCTGTTTTTACTTGTACTTTTGAATGAATGTAATGCTTTTGTGATGCTTTAAAATTGATTTTATTTTTTCTTGTTTTTATTGTCATGCACTTAAATAAACTTTACTTACTTATTTAATAAAATAGATAATAAATAAAGCAGCTTATTTGGCCCACGTGCCTTGAGTTTGACACGTCTTAACTTCTTTCAGCCGTAGCGACGATATGTAATCCCCTCTGTGCTTCATTTATAAACAGCTGAGTGTAAGGATGACTCAGCTAAAACTAAGTATTGTTAGATATCTAAATTTTGTCTTAAATGATAAATAAACTTCTGCATTTGGTCGTAAACAGCCTTAATACACAACAGATCTAATATAAAACCACGTGTTTTAGTTTTTTTTAACTTTCTGACTTTGTTCCCTCATTTTAAAACAAAAAGCTGGCCCCTGCTGTTGATTCATCTAAGGTTTTCTGAGAAAATTTCAAAACGAGTCACAGCTCCTGTAAGAAGCGAAGGAGCTTTGTGACGCTAAAACCTGGAGTTGAAGCTGAAGTTCCCTCGTTGAGCCTCTAATCCTGTTTCATAGTGAAGACGGCGCGGCTCTGACAGCTGCCAGGGGGAGTCTGCTGAACTTTTTCTGTCACCCAGAGAAAGAGATGAGGAGAGGACTCTGGAGAGCCTCGCTCATTTTCCAAAGCCGCTCTCTATAATCAGACTCCTTGTTACGACCGTATAAACCACACCTTGTTGGTCAAAAGGAACAGGAAGTGAAGACAGCTACCTGTAGCACTCAGAGCAACCTTCCCACAACAAGTAAACCAACAATTATTATGTTAGCAGTTATAATTACAACTATAATAAACCCTCCAACAAAAACAAAACATAATCTGGAGCTTAATTAGCATGTTGGGTTGTACATAAAGGAGACTAAAGGAAGTGTTTACACAAAGGATGACTCAGACGTTCAGAGCTTCAGCCTGCTGCTCTGTAATCAGCAGGAAACCTGCTGTACAGTGCAATAAGCACATTACTGCAAGCTAAGTGAGGTCAAAGACTTGCCAACTTCATTAAAAAAGGGAGAGAAATTAGTCCAACAGCTGAAAAGGAATCAGATGCTGAGCTCAGCTGCTGCTCTTTAAAAAAAATCCATTCTTCACCACCTACACGCTTTGCATCACCTCAGCCCAAAGCCTCCGCCTGCAGAAGGCACCGACGGTGAAATTGCTTGATATTGTGATAACCGGAATACAGATTTGTCATTTCCTTTTTCTGCAACCCAGTAACGAGCAGAGCACCTGTCCAAAGTGGGTGATTTCATGTCACTGCCCAGAGCCACATTCTTGATAAATTACCAACCATGTCCAGGTTTAATGCAGGAAAAATAACCCTCCACGGATTAATAAACAGAAACCAGGAACTCTGTGGTTATTGTTGGACTGTTCTTGTATTCCAACAAGAATCTGTATTTTTTTATTCACTATTCCAGCCTCTGATGTGGTGAGCTTCGACGGCGACAGCAGGCTGACGTTCAGACCGGGTCCCGGACAGAGGCGGGCGTCCAAACAGGTCGTCTCCCTGAAGTTCAAGACCCTGAGGAATTCTGGGACGCTGCTGCAGGCGGAGGGACAGGAAGGACTCAGCCTCGGTCTGCAGCTGAAGAGAGGGAGGCTGCTGCTGCTCAGGCAGGGTGAGACCTACCCAGGGTTGGAAAGTAACTAAGCACAAATACTTTGTTACTGTACTTAAGTAATGTTGGCTATCTGTACTTTACTTGATACTTTATACTACTTTATAT